TACCAGGCTACCAAGTTCTTTCTGGTATGTCCATGATATCTATGCAGAAAGCACTGTTAGTTCACAGCACTGTATTCTACTGACAGAATTATGCAACACAGCATTTCTAGCATTAAGACTGGATATGAAATGATAAAACTGGAGATGAAACAACAGTCATCCTCAGCAAACTGGAAGTTTCTTGAGGATGCAGTAACCATTTCCATGTATTTCTAGAGCCAAATCTTACCCAAGTAAGTGCTCAATAAATATCTACTGAATAGATAACACCATCATCTATCAGTCACCCAAAGAGAAGCAATGGCAGAATTTAGTCCCTTTTGTCTCTATAATTCAATAGTCACCACGTACTATGCTCTACCCCCTAAATGTTTCTCATACCTGGTTCCTCCCTTCCACCTGCACTATTAATACATTGTTTCAAGTCATTGTTTCTCACATGAATTACTGCAATAATCTCCCCATCTAAATTCATCTGTCCTGTTTTTTATTATCCACATACTCTATCAGATAGATCCCTTTAAAAAACTTAATGAGAAGTAATCCTCTTGCTTAGAAACAGAACCTCCTGGTGGTGCAGGTAGTTGAGCGCCGTGCTGTGAAGCTGTCTGCAGCCTCTGCAGCGCCGGTTCGATCCTGGCCGGCCCACAAGGGTCCCACATCCTGTGGCAGACCTCTCCCGTCCAGACCTCTCCTGTCGCGCCCACTGTTCCCCTCAGCAGTGTATTTCGTTGGTCTGCCTGTTCTGTTCCCTGCTCTGTCTCTGGTGAATCCTCTCACCCTCCTGTACATCTGGCTTGCACCCTAGTTCTTGTATAAAATAAATAAATCTTTATTAAAAAAAGGAAATAATAGCTTCCCACCAGCTTTAAGAAAAATGTTAACTAATTCATATGATATGTAAAAAGCTCCTTTATGAGTTGCAACAATCTGCCCAACACTCAACCCATCCTCTTTTTTTCCCTTCTACCCTGTCCTTCCAGCCACACTGAACTGGCTTGGATCCCATGCCTTCATGACTTTAACCCTGAATTTCTCTACCTAGAGCACCTTTCCCACAAACTAAATACTCATCCTTTGAAGATTCAGCTGGGGCATATCTCTTCCAGTAAGCTTTCTTTGAATGACATTCATCTCCCTGCTCCATCCCACCGCAGTTTGGATTAAGTCTTTCCTCTGCCATGTGCTCTTACACATTCCCATGTTTAGTCTGTTAACAGCACATTATCATACTGCAGAACCGTCTTGTTTATCCCACATGATTAAAGATCATGTTTACCCACACATGATTAAAGATCCACAATTAAGTCATATTTGTACTGTCAGTGCTAGGTACATTAACAGATGCTCAATCAAAATTCAAATGCATCCCTTACTATTCCCTGAAGAGTTGTTTTCAAAATTTAGCATTCATGAAAATTACCTGGAAGACATAAAATCTAGACTGTTGGTCCCATCCCTAGAGTTTAGGATTCAGTGGGTCCAAGGTGGGATCTAATGAGTTCCCAGAAGATGCTTATGACGCTAGTCCAGGAAACATGTTTCAAGTATCAATACTCCAAATATATGTCTCTCCCTATCCTAGACATTTAAAAAAAAAAAGTCTTTTCTCCTATTTGCCTCTAATTCTACCTACTATAATCTTTTTAGACAATCTTTTTAGACCCAGTTCAACTGTCACCTTCATAAAACATTCCCTAATTCAAGATGAGATTTGATCTTGCTTATTCCTCAATTTCTGTCATGCTTTGTGTTATGTTATTCCATGAAAATTCAGGCTAATGGTTTACACACCCACTGGCATTTCTCTTGTGTTCTCCACTTAAGTGAAGTCAGGAAAACTGCCTTAATCATTTTAATAGTCTCCATAACTGAGCACTGTAACCAGTGAACAGCAGACAACATTTACAAGTATTTGTTGATATGAATGAATCTCTGTGCTTGCCTGGACTTCTGGGCCCACAGTCTGTCTGACTCACTTAATCCTCTTGGCCCCTGCTGACTTCCTTATACTGCCTTGTACTCTCACTTGCCCTACTACCTATGACAGATGCCTGATCCTCTCATACTTGTCTGTCCCTCTTACTGCTAACCCTTAGTCAGCTTCTTTACCTTGGACTCCAAACCTTTATTAATTTTCTCCTAGTGACTAATGTGACTTTTAATTCTGCTGACCATGAGAGGTTGCTTGCCTTTTTTTTTAAAGCAATCTTTATTTGTCTCAGAACTTATCTGTAATATGATGTGTATACAATTCTAAGTATAGTCGTTGTAGACAGCAATAAGTGTGTTTTAGGTTCTAATTACAGATGATGGAGATAATTTTAATAAAAAAAGGTTAAAAATACAAACATAAAAAGGTCATTTATAAAATTTAAGATTGTGCGAAGAAACAAAATTTAAAAGGTTAGCTACATATGTACTAGGTTCATATATACAGAACAAAATCTGTATTACCTATTCCAACAAAAACAGATATAAAAAATATCTGGTCATGTTTCTAAATTATACTAGGCATACAGAACTATTTCTGATACATGGAAAGTTAAATAAGTTTCTAAAAATACCCCTACAAATTTATTCCTTCAAAAAATTACTAAATTACAGTTTTCAATCAACCTAAACCTTCTTCTATTTGATTTCATTCTTCCTTTCCTTTCTGTGTCGGTAACAATGAAATACTCTATGTAAAACTATTCCTGTCTACCTGAAAAACTTGTAAAGACTTTTATTTATTTTAATAAACATCTATTTAGTTTATCATAGAGAAGTGATCACTAGTGGGTCAGGGAAAATTCTTAGGAGCTGAGTACTCAGATTTTTGTGTATATATACATGAGCTTAATCCTACCTGGATGCTCAACACTCAGAAAAATAAGAAACTACTTTTAAAGTAGCAACTAAAATTACTGTCACAAAAGATTCTTGCTAGGCTCTATCCAATCATACAAAATTTTCACTTCCCTCTTACTTGAACTAGTCATAAATTAAAATCTTTTGGCAAAAAATGTAAATATGCTCATGCTATCTAGGAGTTCTCATAAAGATTTTCAAAGGTAGTAAAAATTTTCACTGTTGCTCAATTAGTTAAAAAAGAGCTAAAAATCATATACCTAAAAGGAAACTAGAAAAAAAAGAGAAATATTGACTGGAAGAAAACTATACCTTCTGGTAAACCTTAAAATATTTTTGAACGATAAAGACCAAGTACTAGAAAGGTAAATAGAAGAGCTAAAAAGGGATTTCCCCAATTTAGCCTGCTGTTCAAAAAAAAACCTGGTGAGGGGATGCATCATGGGGTGGGGTGTGGTGGGGCCCGGGGAAGGAGTCGAACTACTTGGAAATCACATATACCATATAACACAGAAATAATATGCAAGCAAAATTTTGAGGATCATTGACGCAAAATACATTGTTTATAAAAGTATTCACTGCAATAGACAAAGATCTTCAAATTCTGACCTTCGAATAAAATACATGTACAGGGAAGTTGTATTAAAGTACTTTAAGAACTCCAAAAGACTATGCCAATAAAGAGATTGCACGATGAATGACTAAATTGTTTTCTGTAACAGTCTGGAAAAGCCTAGGTTTTGTGACTTTGAGGGCCAAACTTGTCTGAGCACCTCCCAAACTGGCAGGTCAAAACTTCCTCTACCAAAATCACCAATAATTTATTAAGTCGGTTCCTAGTCTGCATCTTAAGTGTATATTAGTAAGTGCACTTAATCCATTTGTTCTGTACGTTAAATAAAAGCTGGCACCAGACTACTCTAATTTCATTTTCTTCTCTCACAACTACACCAAACTGATCTTAAGTTGCAATGAACAGAACTTCTCTTCATTAAGCCACCACTATATTGTAAATTAACATCTACAGAGTGAAATACAACTAAAAGGCACAAGCAATTACTCAACATCAGCCTAAATATCTTGTGTCAACTGTTTTAAAGACTTTGTTAACAACAGAGTCAAAGTTCGAATATCTGATCTATAAACCAGCACTAGGAACTTTTTTTTCTAGTCTGTATACAATTCTTGATTACAAAGAGGAAACTACCCCGGAGAGCGAGAACCGGTAAGGTAACAGGCTAAAAGGGCGTCGTTGATTTCTTGGCTTTGGTGACAGAGGCGGGAGACACACCCCTAGCGTCAGTCTGAAACACTACAGCAGCGCTTTCTACCTAGGGATTAAATGTGAGGGTAAGAAAAGACAAATTTAAATCGCCATGATTCAAAAACAACCACAAGAGAGAGACTCAGCGAAGATAACAAAGAAAACGAAAGATCCTAGGTAGTGAGGAAGCATTAAGACACAAGGACGCCCACTTATCCAAGACCGAGCTACTCTGTGTTTTCAAGAAGATACACCTTGGACCTTTCCGGTTCGCCAGGGCTGAGCGAAAAGCAGCAAAGAAACCCCACAAGGTTGCAAACAGCAGCGGAATAAACACTAGCAGGAGAGGGGGAAGTAAGTGGCAGGATTCCTGCCAAGCCTCATAGCTCGAGCGGGGAGTGCGAGTGGGAGACAAGAGCTGCTCTGGAAAGTGGGTCTTATGTAAAGACCCATTTGCTACACCTTCTCCCGCGGCATTCCGGAATACCCCCGAACTTGAGAGTGAGTCTGGGGGTGAAAAGGGGCTCCACGTGGAGGAGGGTCCGGAGAGAAGTAATGCGCGGAGACAGCACCCAGTCGGCGCCCGGGGAGAGGGGCCCCGGCAGAGGCGGAATCCCCGCGGCCCGGGGAGGGGGTGGGGGGAGGGGGCGGGGGGGCGCCCCGCCGCGGCCCGGGGGCGGGCGCAGGGGCCCCGCGGTCCTGTCAAGCAGCCGGCCAGCCGCCCCCGCCCGCCGCCTTCGAATCTCCCCGGCCCCCGGCGGCACCAGCCGGACCCGGGTCTCTCGCATTTTCCGGCGGGGGAAGCCGGCCGGGGGCGTCGGGGCTCGGCCCCGCCAGCGGCGGGCGGAGGAGGGATGGGACGCAGGGGAAGCGAAGGTCTCACCATTTTGCTCGGCGGTCGGCGGCGAGGTCGGCGGAGGAGTGTGTCGGCGCTGACGGGCTCCCGCAGGAAGCGGCGGCGGCGGCCCAGCTGCGCTCGGCTGGGGCGGCTGCGGCCCTCGGGACGCCCGCGAGGGAAGGGGTTCGGGCTGGGGGAGGGGAGGCGGCGCCGCGGAGCCCGCGCCGGCCGGGTGACTGGGCGCACGGGAGCCGGCGGGGGTGGGGGCGAGGAGAGAAATTAAGGTCGAGATTCAGCGGCAGCGAGAGCGGGAGGAGGCGACGAGAAGGGAGAGCGACAGAGAGGGGGAGACGCGGGGGAAAGGGGACCGGGCGGCTCGGGGCTGCAGCCTCACGCTCGCGCCGGAGCCGTGACGGACTCACTGCAGTGGCTCGCACTGACCCGCAACCTCAAGGCACGAAAAAGGGGGAGGGCGGGAGAGGGAGGGGAAAGCGGAGCGCAGCGGCGCGCGGGGCGGAGGGCGGGGGCGCGCGAGGAGCCGGCGGAGGGGGCGGGGCTTCCGCGAGCGCCGCACATCCGGGCACCTGCGCGCGGGCTCCGCCGCGGCCGCCGGGCGCTCTGGCGAGCCCTGGTTGGGGAGCGTGGAGCGCGCGGACCACGTTCGCGGCTCAGACTACCGCCCCTTGCGTGCCGCGCGGGGGGAGGGCGGGGGCGGGGGCGCGGGCGCCAGTGACGTCGCGTGGCGGAGCCCTTCCTGTCATGTGGCTGGAGGCGGGCGGGGGAAGGCAGGCCCGGGAGGGAAGGAGGAAATGCGAGGGTACCCTGGGAGGGAGGAAATGCGAGAGGTGCGCGAGCTGGGGGCGAGGGGGACGGGTCCCCGGAGTGAGAGCCTCGTGGGGGAGGAGAAGCCGCTGAGCGGACTTAAGGTGTCAGTGCCACCCAGACCCACACCAAAAAGGTAGAAGAAGATGCAAGCCTTCGGGCTAAAGTTTGTGTTTGGAGACAAGTATCTGCCTCAGGATACTTGGATCCACCACAGAATTACCCAACGCATCTAGACTGTGGTCATCCGGTGCAGCATCGCAGACCCACACTCGAGCGAGAGTTGGCAGAGCCAGGAGCCGGGTTGAAAAGACAGGAAAAGCCAAAGCTGCAGGCAGATGGAGGCGGGAGCTGCCCAGGACAGCAGAGGAGAAGGGCTCCTTCCTACCCAGCTCTGCTCTAGGCTTAACAGTGCTGCAGTGTTTGTTTTTGATAAACACTCAAAGGCACGTTGCCCACTTAACCCTTTGTAGGACTGTATCCACTTTGGTGGTAATTGCCAGTCCCAAAAAATTCAGATATAATGGGAAATGGGCCCTAAAATTACTTAAGGGTGAAAGTTATGTTCAGAGGGGTTGAAAGAGAAAAGAACTATTTTAACCATTTATTCCTTTTCGTGTATTGATAATCGTGTTGTGTATGTGTGTGAATGTTTTAAGTAGTCAGAAACAACTTACTGACAAATTCTTTGAGTAGTTTTATAAGAAGTCATAAAACTGCTTTTAAAAGCAGTTTTTATTTTTAAAAAGCTCCTTACCTGAGCGTGTTTTTCATTGTTGTGGTAGTTATCTTTCCCTATGATAAACAGATCTTTCCTAACAGAGGCTCAGTAATGTATCCTGGGTCTCTCCCCCTCCCCCCTTTTTAAAAATTACTTTGTGTCAGTAGGAGTAAGGAAAACAATAGACTAATTTTTATTCGTTTTCATCATAAATTAAGAATGCTTTTTTAAAGCACTATATAAAAATTGCTCCCTCTCCCTCAAGCATGGTCAGTGGAAATCAAGTCATCATTCTGACAGAATTAAATACTAAAAAGGAATTTGAGCTATATGGGATGCAGTAGACTTAGAGTAACCCATTATTTTGTCATGATTTGGGCCATTTTAAACTACAGTTATTCAACAGATATCTTTTGTGACCCGAAATCAGAAATTTAAAGCTAGGCACTGTTGAGAGATTGCTTAGTCTCTAACTGACCAAAACAAGATGCAAAGCCAGTCCTCTTGTTCCTTTTCATCTTTTGAATCTCCTAGTTTGCACTCCCATTTTCTCAGCTTTATGTAGCAGACATGTAGCAGGCTGCATCTCTAACACTAATTAATTTACTGTGAATACATTGAAAGAGGTAAATCCAAAATGCACCTTTAATACCAAAAAATGAAAGTTTTCCCTCTACCCAAAAGAGAGTATAAGTTGTTTTTCTCTCTTTTTCCATTAAGTTTTGGTAGAAAGCTAGGCATAAGAGAACAAGTATCAAATAGTCTACTAAATGCAAATGTGCCTTTAAGAATCTAGATAAGTGAAAAGGCAAAGGACATATCTAATAAGTGGGACTATTTTTCCTAGAAAACTTAGCAGCCAAAAGATGATTGTTGGGGAGTATTATGCCAGATAGAGAGAGAGAGAGAGAGACTGAAGACAGAGATACCAATTATAAAAAGAGGGGACAGCTAAGCATGTGGTAGTGAGAAATATCAACATCGGAGGAAAGGAAAAGGTAGATATGAACAACTTGAATCCAAAATGAATTAACAGTGTGACTTAGTGGATGGAGGGAACATGATCAGGGAGAAATAGAGGGTGACTGACCAGTTTGAGTTGGGATGACAGAAAACAGTGATCCCATAAAAAGAAATAGGAAAATTAGGAGAAGTTTGATTATGGAGTGAAAACAGATCAATTTGACTTTTACAACTCTAAGTTTGGTTGCTGATGATACATATTCCAGTGGAAGCACCCAGTTGAAGCTGAAAGTCCAAGTCAGAAAAGCCTAAAGATGTGGCAGACAACTTAAAACAGATTGGAGGTGAAATCCTCAAAATTTTACTTTCTAATGATAAGAAAAACAAAGAACCCAGAGATACTGATAAACCTGCAAAGTAGGAAGATTAATGTTTATAGTCATATTTAGACACAGACAACCTCAGCCTTCAATATCTCTTCGATTATCTCTAAGAAGTTGAATTGTCACAGATGTCATGTGTAGACCTTCAAGATCATTATGATATTCAGAAAACTTGCCTTATTCTTAAACATCTGATCACTGCCATTTATTTATAGATAATTAAGGATAGCAAATGAAATAAAATTGTTTAATGTGTTCCAGTGCAATAGTGCCCCCAAATAACCACTCTTATTTATTGGTTATATTGATTAATGTCAACAAGAAACCATGTCTAATTTTATGTACTATCTATACATAGGAAGACAGTATCAGTTAAAAAGGAGAATTAATTAGGGCCTTCCTGGTGTCGCAAGGGGTTAAATCTCAGCACTATGAAGCTATCCACAGCCACTGCAGCACCTAGTTCAATCCCCAATCAGGGAGCTAACCTACATGGCACAAGACCTCTCCTGTCTCACCTGCTGCTCCCCTCAGCAGTGTATTTCAGTCAATTCACCTGTTCTGCTCCCCACTCTGTCTCTGGAGAATGCTCTTACTGCCCCCACCCCCATAGCTCTGACCTGTACCCCAGCTCTTGTATGCATAAATAAATAAAATAAATCTTTTTTTTAAAAAAGGAGAATCAATTAAAGCCATTTAAAAGTAGTATCTGTTTCTTTCTAGTCCACATTTGTTGTTAACATAGAATTAAAGGAATGTGTACCTCTCTTGCTAGGTAAGACTTATATGTCCCAACTCAGGAATCCAAGATAGAAGAATATTTTTACCTTTTTGTCGTCTAGTTTCAAACCACAAAAGCCTCCTGACATGGAAAACTGGAATTGCATAGGAATCATCTTCTTAGAATTTTTTTTTTTTTTTTTTTTTTGGTACTGAGGAAAAAGCAGGGATTCCCAATGTCCCCTTTTCCAGGGTGTGGTTGAGGAAGGGTTACTTGTCACTGAGATGGCAGGGAAGTAATTGGTTCCTTTCTTGCTAAGCAGCAGAGATATGAGTCAAGGATTCTAAGTTCCACCTTGGAAACTCATTTCTCCATAGAAACTAGTTTTAAAAGACTTCTGTTAACATTGGCCTTCCTATATTTGTGATTAAAAACACAATAGTAGAAACTGCTCTTAAAAATATGACGTTCTGTGATTTAATGATTTTGGATGTATTCATCCAAAGTACTAGATGAAAAACTTTAAATTATAATTACTATTTAAATTACTGATTATTTGCAACTTTTCTAATTCCCATAAAAGAAGTAAGAACATTGAACTTACAGAAAATGAAATTTTCTATTATTTACTTTTCAGGTGAAACAGTAATTAGAAATATTCTTAATTAGGAAAAATTTCCAAAAATTATGTGATAAGTTGCTTATAGAAGTTGTTTCTATATTATATATAGAAAGCCCCTGAAGAACATCATTTTGTTATAATCTAGATGAGAGGGGTAAAAGGCTGGCTCTAGACTAGGGCCATGTCTCTGTGGAGTTTGCACATTCTCCCCATGTTTGCGTGAATTTTCTCTGGATATTCTTGGTTTCCTCCCACATCCCAAAGATGTGCATGTTAAATTCATTGGCATGTTAAAATTGTCCCAGTCTGAGTGTGTGTGTGTGTGCATGACCCTGCCATGAAATGTCTTCATGTCCAGCTTCCTGTCCCACCTTAAGCCACCGCCAACCTGAACTGGAATAAGCAAGTTGGAAAATGAATGATTGACTACAAATTATTATTTAATATTAGAAATATGTTTTGGGCCTTTTCTAGAAGTTTCATGATGCCTTTGTCACCAGAAATATGCTGCAGGAACTTATCTCTTGCTTATATCAGTCTATGGTAAAATTGATTTCATTACACATCCTTTCATTTAAAGTTGTACAACATTAAGTGAGAACTTACTATATTTGACCAAAAAGAAAAGGGATAGGGGGAGACTTTTCCATATGAAGATCTGTAATTTAGTTATCTGCATAAAGAACACAATTGAAACCATGAGAGAGAGGGCAGAAATAAGAAAGCATAGAAGCGATATAAACAGACCAAAGGCAGAACCAAGGTAACATCTACATTTTAGTAGTGGCTCAAGAGGAAAGGGTTAGGGGTGATTAGTGAGGTCAAGGAGAATCAAGACAGGGCCTCCCCTGGTAGCACAGGCAGTTGAGTGCAGTGCTGTGAAGCTGTCCACAGCCTTTGCAGCGCTGGTTCAATCCTGGCCAGCCGGCGAGGGTCCTACATGATGCAGCAGACTTCTCCTGTCGTGGCTGCTGCTCCCCTCAGCAGTATATTTCATCTGTCTGCCTGTTGTGTTCCCGCTCTGTCTCTGGTGAATCCTCTCACCCTCCTGCGCATCTGACCTGTACCCTGGTTCTTGTATAAATAAATAAATAAATCTTTTTAAAAAAAGGAGATCAAGACAGATGGAGAAATGCAAACAATTGTTTTTCAGTCATATATATCCTTTACAATGTGCTAAATATATCTTGAAAAATTTTTTTTTTAATTGGAGCTCTTGTTTCCTTA